AATTGATTCTCTGAGATCTTCACCGTTCTTCGAAGTCTTTGCTCAATCAATTGCTCCCAAAGTTTCATGGTATGACTCATAAGCTTAATCCCCCGATAGTTGGCACATTCTTGTACATCACCTTTATTCTTAAATAAGGGAATAAGAGTACTCTTTCTCCAACTCGTTGGCATCTTGTTGTTTCTCCAAATTTTGTTGAAGAAATTTGTTAACCACCCGATGCCTCTCTCTCCCAAACTTCTCCAAGCCTCGATCGGTATGCCATCTGGACCCACTGCTTTCTTCCGCCCCATCTTCCTCAAAGCCTCTTTAACTTCCGTTGGTTGGATCCTTCTCACAAAATCACGATTTACCATACAATCTGGTATGGTCAAATCATCGATATCTTGCACTTTGTTCCCGTTGAACAATGTATCAAAGTATGATCTCCACCTCTCTTTTATCTCTCTGTCCTCCATTACTATCCTTTGATCAACATCCTTCACACACTTAACTTTTCCGATATCTTGAGTCCTGCGATCACGAAGACGAGCAAGTCTATAGATCTCTTGTTCTCCTTCCTTAGAGTCCAATTTTTCATACAACTTCTTGTTCACTTTCCCTTGTGCTTCTTTTACGGCTTTCTTTGCTTGTCTTCTAGCCTCCTTGTAAGATTCTACGCTCTCATCACTCCTACTTATCCCCAACTTTTTGTAGCAATCTCTTTTGTTCCTTATGGCTTGTTTCACCTCATCATTCCACCAAGACGTGTCCTTTTTGGGTGGCAAACATCCTTTAGATTCTCCAAGTACCTCCTTTGCCACTTTGTTAATGGTCAGCTCCATCGATAACCACGCATCCTCCACCTGTGTTCCATTATCAATATGCCATACATCTTCACCGAACATTTTGTGTGTAAAGCTTTGTTGAAGATCCCCCTCAAGCCTCCACCACTTTATCTTTGGCTCCACTTGTTGCTTAACTTGTCTTCTATGGTTCTTACCTCGAAAGTCGAGCACAAGCATCCTATGCTGAGTGACAACACTCTCACCTGGGATAACCTTACAATCGGTGTAGCTAGTTCTCCAAGTAGTACGTACTAAGAAGTAGTCAATTTGGGTACTATTAGCTCCACTTCTATAGGTTACACCTTCGTTCCCCACGAACTTTTAATTACCTTCGTTCCCCACGAACTTTTAATTGTTGCTGCTGGGGGATGGGTTTCACGTTTGATCAGATTATCACGCAGGTAGTACTGCTACTCCCGTAGATACTCAATCTCAACCACCTGTGTTTTTAAGACTTCGAGTTTTTCTTCTTGGTTTCATTCAAATGAAAAGTCTTGATGCAGGGGTGGAGAAGGGGAGGCTGGCGGAGGCCTTGACCCGTACAAGAAAAAGATTGTGATGTATATACATATGCATAAATATTTATAAGTAGTAAAAAATATAGCAAAATTTAAGCTTTGGCCCCGCCTATAAAAATTTCTTAAGCCCCGGCTCCTATAACCTGACATTCCTGACTCCGCCACTGTTCAAATGGTTTGGAGTAAAAAAAACTCAATACGGAGTATTTTTTTTTTTTTTTTGAAAACTCAATACGGAGTACTTAAGAAACAAGAGAAGAAATTCCACCGATGCTGTGGGTGGACATTGATTTTACCTCAATTTTTTTGTTACTGACTAAAATACTACCATACCCACCCACCCATCCATGGATTTCATTGCCCCAGTTCACCATGATCTTGATTACAAGATGTACAACCAGACCGGGCCCGCCAATTCCCTGACAACCGTGGAAGGAGAGACATGGATTATAGAACCAGACCGTCTTTACCTGCTCAGAGCTGCATCGGAAATGAGCCTTACAACAACAGACTCAAGTTGAGACAATAGGGATATACTCCGTAATACGGAGTAGATATTTTATTAATATTCAACTAATTAATTTTAATTAGGGGGTGTGTTTAGTAAAATAGGGTCTGCATTTAGAATTTCTCATGCCTGACCAGACCAGACTTCCGTAGTTATAAAATACACAGAGATCAGACGTTTACCAGATCAGACCAGACCAGATTCAGACCAGACCAGATCAACAAATTTCAGTCCAAAAGAAAACAAACATCCTTAGACTCGTAAATGCGATTATTTATTTTATATTCGTGACTAAACGGGTCTTCATAATGTGTCTAATAGTCCATCAGGTTCGGGTCCAGGCGTAGTGTTCGACTCGTAGATGCGATTATTTATTTCAGGAAAAACTGTCAAATAAGCTCTCGAAGTATATCAAAAAAGTCAATTAAGCCCTCCAACTAAATAAACATTCAATTAAGTCCATCAATAAGGTAGATTCTACGGTACCCCAAATGTACCGTACCTTTGTCCAAATGGACCAATAAGAATGATGCAGTTGAATTATTTAAATCTAAATAAAAAAGCATATAATGATTTGGACCAATCAAATGCATGGTAGGTACGGTACCCCATTTTTTAAATGGGTACCAGAGTTGCGTAAATTATATTATACACCCGGGTGTACATGTACACCCGGTTTTTAAATGACGTGGCAGACTGATTCTCTCATCCATCTCTATTCCTGATTCTTCCTCATTCCCTCACTCCCCGTTGCTTTTATTTATTTCAGCCGCCATTCTTTTTCATTTTTACCCTTCATCCCGTCATCCTAGTTTGTTGTATACTACGTATTTGTTTTGTCTTTTTTATTTTACTTTTTCGTTACTTTTTTCTCTCTTCTTTCTTTTTTCTCTTCGTTTCTTTTATTTTACTTTTTCGTTACTTTTACTTTAGTTAGTTTACTTTTTTGTCTTTTTTCTTTTTTTCTTTATTTTAAACTCAAATTTTATAGCGTCTAAAAAGAATAAATATATACAAATGAACATTTCAATTTTTGAAAACTCATTTTGTAAGTAATGTATGTCCATTTAGTATCTTTGTTATGCTTATTTTAAAATGTTTATCCATGTATATTTCAAAAGTCTCATATTACATTAGATTCGCATAGAATTTGATTATAGACACGAGACCACAAAGCACAATACTCAATTGCATGATTCTAGTACCCAATAACGGAGGTTCGATGCTCACTAAAGATATCTTGATGTTCAACAAACAAAACATACAATTTTCATATCAATGATCATCTTGTAAGTTACGAATGCTCATTTGTATAGGTCTGATGCTCATTAAATTAAAAATTCATTAATGCTCATTGATCTCAATAGAGGATGTTTGATGCTCAATTAAAATGTCATGATATTCCACTAAAAAATCTTATGATCTTCACATCAATGCGCATTTTGTAAGTTACTATGCTCATCCGGTACTCAACTTATACTCATTTTCTAAATGATGTAATTTACATATGCTCATTTCCATAGGCCTGATGCTCATTAAAAATTCATTAATGCTCATTTAATAGAAATCATGATTTTCATCAATCTCAATAGAGGAGTTTTGATGCTGAATGAAAATGTTGTGATGTTTAACCAACAAATTAGCTACCAAATTCATTAATACTCATGTTGTAAGTTACATATGCTCATCTGATACTCATTTTATGCTCATTTTCTAAATGTCATATCAATGCATTTTTTAAAAGTATTATTTTATGATAGACTCCTAATACTCAACATAATAGGATTGATGCTCATTAAAAGTTCATTATTGCTCATTCACAAGAAACTATGATTTTCATCTCAATAACAGATGTTTGATGCTCAATTAAAATGTCGTGATGTTTAACAAACAACCCTTACGATAAAAAATACCAAAAAGAAAGTGAATTAGAAGTTTGTAAAGCAGAGATCACGATTCTGAATATTAGACTCCTAATATTCAACAGAATAGTTAGGGTGCTCATTAAAAGTTCATTATTACTCATTCTCCAGAAGTCGTGATTTTCATCTCAATAGTTGAGGTTTGATGCTCATTTAAAATGTCATGATGTTCAACTAACAAACCTTACGATTTTCATATCAACGTGCATTTTGTTAGTTATGTAAGATCATTTGATATTGATGTTATGCTCATTTTTAAAATGTCATATCAATGCATATTTCAAAAGTATCATATTACATTAGACTCGCATATTGAAATTAATAGTAGTGAATTTTAGATATAATTTAATACGGAGTAAGTTTTTATAGCAGAAAAAATAGAAGATATGAAGCAGAGATCGCGATACTCATTATTAGGCTCATAATACTCAATACAATATGTGAGATGCTCAACAAAACTACAATGTCGCTCATTTAGCGGGAGTCATTATTTTTCGCTTAAATTACAAAACTGACACCGAAAAAAATAGGTTGTTTTAATCAAATGGACTGTCTTTCTTTTAATTGGGCCTTTTTATGGGCCATCCGTGGGATTCATTTAATTCTATTCAAACTGGGTTATCAAAATGGACTGAGAGGCCGTTTGGAGCATAAGAAATGGGCTGTTAAGCCTGAAAGTGCAAAAAAAAAAAATACCAAACACCTATCTAATTGGCTACTTTGGCTGATTTTTCTTATCAGCTCAAAAAGCAAGTTAAGTGTTACTTTTTCAGCTTATTTTTATTATTTGAACGTTGCTGATTGCAAAGACCTTTCAACCTTTGTATTATACGTACTTTTCCTGGAGTACATCTTCGTTCTTACTGCTTAGGAACCCATCTTTGTACGTAGAAATTTGGTAAAAGGTGAAAATAGGTCATTTAAAGAACCAAGAATAATGTTGAGAATAGTTTTGCACTTTTGCTTAATTTGGAGTGACTTCAGTTCTAAAATGACTTCCGATTTTGGGAATATTGGAAAAATCTCATAAGTGGGCTATATAAAATTTGGCCATATTTCACTAATATAATAAAATAGATGTTGAGTTTTTCATGAAAAGGGATGTATAGCAGCTGTAAGAGCGGGCCGTAGCATATATAACAGCTTAATACCCTTTGTGGTCATTTTACGTTTAATCAGCCATTTCAGCCGATATATTACCAAACGCTTTTACTTCAGCAGATTCAGCCATTTCAGTCTTTTCAGTCTTTTCAGCCATTGTAGCCATTAACAAACAGGCCCTGAAGCTTAAGAAATTTAAAAAGAAGTCCGGATGTACGGTTCTCACCCGTACACCCGAGTGTACGATATACGTACTCCCAGAGTTGTCACCTTTTTTTCTTTTCTTTTCCGTCTCTTTCTTCTGGCCCACCTCTTCCCTTCTCCCTCTACGTACTTTCGTTCTCCCGACTTCTTCCCGATGCATCCATCCAGACCTTCAATTCTTCTCCCTTCTTTCTTATTCCGCCCCAAACTGCCGTCATTTCTATTCTTCTTCCGATCGAGCAAATAAAGGGAATGTAAAACCGGAGATGGCGAAGAGGGAAGTTTGGGCGGCATCATGGCGGGGTTCTTCAGCTTCCTCCGGCAACGTTGTTGCCGGCTTTCATCTCCAGCACAGTTGGTGACTACGTGATATCTTTCTCGACTGTAAAGCTTGGAGCACTTTCTCTCCATGAGTTGACCCAATTTTGAGCTTCATTGGCTCCGGCGGCGGATAAGAAGTTCTCCGACGACCGAAATTAGAAGAAGAGAGAAGGGACATGGGACAGTGGAGCGGGCTGAAGAAGAGAAGATAAAATGAGGGGGGGGGGGGCGAACTGAAGAAGAAGAAGGGGGGAAGGTGGGGCGGGGTGGGCTGAAGAAGATGAAGAAAGATTAAAGAGGACGTGGATGGGTGAGTTTGGCTGAAGAAGAAAGAAGGGGAGTGAGTTTGTTGTGGTGAAGAAGAAAGAACCAGGGAAAAAGGAAAGGAAGAATGAAAAAAAGAAAAAAAAAACGTAAAAACGTAAAAAAAAAGGGTTTTTTACAAGAATATTACTAAAATAAAACTTATTTACATAAATATGACCATTCATTACTACAACGTAGTGTTGTAGTAACTTAAGTTCAAAACTTGAACATTAATTACTATGATTTCATTACTACTCTAGTAACTAATCATATTTTTGTAAACCATCTTTATTTTGATCATATTTATGTAATTATTTCAAAAAAAAATGCTAGCTGGACTGACATATAAGCAAGGTCACCTGCTAACCTAAAACCAACCGGCTAGATTACAAATTTGATCATTTTTGCATACTTCATGGACTTAATTGGGTGTTTATTTAGTTGGAGTGCTTAATTGACTTTTCAGTATACTTCGAGTGCCTATTTTACTGTTTTCCCTTTATTTTATATTGGTGAGTGAACAAGTCTTCACAATGTGTCTAATAGCCCATCTTACATTGATCCACTTTTTAGCAAAAGAATAAGGTAAAACTGTAACTATTACTCCCTTCCTATTTTAAAATTTAAAAGTTTATTATACTTTCCACTTTAATATGTTTTTCCTTAAAATTAATGAATTACCCTTACGTTTTATTTTATCTTTCATACTTGTACACTCTTTCTCCTACTTTTGCTACATTAATCCTTACCCTAGTTAGCTTTTTTCCGTTTAAAACGCGTTTTAAACACGTACCATTTTTTTGAACAAAAAAAACACATTTAAAACGAAAAATAATGTCGGTCCGTTTAAAAAGGAAAAAAACTCGTACTTTCCGTATAAAACGTATTTTTTCCGTATTTTTACAAAAAATAGAAACATGAACTGATCAATTCAATGAGTGCATAAAATGCACAGGAGATCAACATCAACAATAGCTTAAAAGAAAAAAGGAAAACATTGTCCTCGTGACCACGTGTTTTTGTATGGTTACAATGCAATTATTAGATACTAAAATTGATTGCATGACGGCTAAAGCTAGCTTCCTGAAATTAAATACCAAAACGTTAAATACTACTGGATTTATGATGTTTTCCCAATCAAGCATATCAAAATTAAGTTTTTTCTAAACCTGACATATGTTTAGTACTTCGTATACTTTTACAGTTTTACACATAAACAATAATAAGCGTAGGAGTCGTACAATGTACTTTTCTCATATGTCATCCATCATTTTGATAAAATGATGAGTTTAACTTCAGTATTATTGATGATCATGTAAAGATAATGATTTTAACTTCGCATCATCTATGGTTATTATGTCTCATTTTTAGACTTTATTTTGCAAAAGTATGCCTTGGACTTAATTACTATTTTTATTTTTGTCATCGACTTATGCAATTACGAATTATTCTTTGATGTGGTAATGAGATTTGCTACTTGAATATGTGTATACTTTTATTTCTTTTTACTATTGTTGGGTAAATGGCCCAAACAGGGGTTCGGCCCAATTACCCCCAAACCGACGTACGTCGCCTAGCCCACGGGTGGCCCTGGCCTAAAGGAATGAGGACGAATGTCTGTCTCCGGGATAACAGCACAAGGTCCCGGCCGAGGGTCGGTTAGCACATCCATGACGAACGTCGTCGTCCGAGGCCCATCTCCGTAGATGGCCCAGGTCCAGAAGATTGTTACATCCTACAAAGGGCCGTAGACGAACGGCCCTCCGTTCTACCAGACGATCATGGTCAGGAATTAAGCGGGGAACCCAGATTCTGGCGGGAAGCGCATTTAATGCTGAAGATTTGGTGGTTGGGCCGCAGCCACTAACAATCCTCCACGTCGTCAGGGCTAACTGCCCATTGGCGGGTATAAATAGTAGCATTTATTTCATTTTAAAGGGTTGGCAACTTTCTACTCTTAGCATACTAGCTTCAGCATTCTTACTGGTAGCATTTCTAACTGCCTTGTAAGACGAACGGCCGACGTGCCTTTTTAGCAAGTAGATTGTACTTAGGGGAGTTATTACGAAGTTAATAATACCTATTTACATTGCCTGCTATTTCTTTTGTTTCCTGATCCATCTGAAGGTTGTTGGGCTAGATATCCATACACTCACTCCACTCGAAATCTTTGGGCTTACGTGTTGGGTCCAAGGGTTGAAGGAATAAACCTCAACACTGGCGCCGTCTGTGGGAAAACTGAACAAAAAGTTTCCAGAAACTCTCCCAAACAGCTACTAATCCCCCCTACAGCAAACACGATGTCAGGAAGCAACAACCAGCGTGATCTCTCCGAGCGTCTGGAGTCAAGCCGCCGGAATCGCGGCCAGAACTCGGAACTGTCCGCAACAATATGGACCTCCGGGGGAAACGGGGGCATCACTGACCTCATTCCCCTTGAGGCCAGGCAGGATCCCCGCCTCATGCGGGAACTTGCTGACACCATGCGTCGTTTGGCAGACGAACGGGAGGCCCGAGATCAGGTGTACTCTGCGAGCACCCAGCGAACGCCCCTCTCTCCCATTCGCCGCATGCAGTCGTATGATGATACGACGGGATCCAGCGACCACCGGCCCTCAGTCCATGAGCGGCTGGGTGGGGGTTCAGGCTCCCGTGAAACGGGAGGGCGAACCAGGGTCAGCATCGCTGCATCCAGGGCTCACACGCCATCGGTGCCCCGCCAAATCCCGCGGGGAGACGAAACCCCAAGGATCAACACCGTTGGACGACGTTTCCAACGGCGAGGTGTGCAGATCTTTAGGCGGCCGCACGATGCTGTGGCCGCTCAGCAGAATGCCGTCCCCGAAGCTGCGCCCCCTGTGTCCCCCGGAAGGGCCGCACAGGATGCAAGGCTGGAAGCAATGGAACGGCAGATAGCCGAGATGAATAGACGGACGGACGTCGGCTCGGCCACACCCTCCTTCTCCCTCACATCACCCTTTACTCCACGGGTGATGAGCGTCGAGATTCCCCGGGACTGCAGGCCCCCGGGTAACCTGGTGTATAATGGGGCTGGCGATCCTAAGGCCCATCTGATAAGCTACCAGGGGAACCTGTCCATGCTGGGAGCATCAGACGAGGCCATCTGCAGATTGTTCTTCAGCACCCTCAGGGGGCCGGCGCAAGAATGGTTCGGCCAGTTGAGGTCGGGCACCATCGACTCATATGAACAGCTCTCCCGGCAGTTCATGGCGCAGTTTGCTGCCAGTACCACCCCCAGGAAGGACGTCACGGCTCTCGCTCACATCAAACAAGGGCGGGACGAACCGCTGGCTAGGTTCCTGGTAAGGTGGAGGGACGAGGTCCTGCAGGTCGACGATCTGGACGAACGTCTGGCCACCAACATGTTCACCAGTGCGCCGGCCACAGGGGACCTATACCGGGACCTAAGGAGGAATCCCGGCACCAGCTACACCGAGGTTCTGGCTCGGGCCCAGAAGTATGCCTCCATTGAGGAATAGATCAGGCAGTGGGACGGAGTTTCCGCGGCCCAGCCACGGAAGATGGCGGACAGGCTCGGACCCAGACCGGGACCCGGCCCCTCCCCCCCAAACAAAAAGAAGAAGGTGGACGGAGCGATGGTCCCTTGGAAGGCTCCGTCCGGAGATAGTCAAACGCGGCCGGACGACCGCTATATCCCATTGGCCTATCCAGTGAGCCAAATCTTTGAGGCCATCAAGGACAAGGGCCTCCTGATGGAACCCCAGGATATGAAGAAGCATATGGGGCTTGACCAATCGGCCTACTGTGAATACCATCAGAGGGCCGGCCACCTGACGGACAATTGCAGCCAACTAAAGAAAGCAATCGACGAGCTGATCCGTCAGGGGTACTTGGGCGAGTTCACCCAGCTGCTGAACAAAAACAGCCAGCAGAAGCCGAACCCAAGGCCCCGGACATGGCGCCGCGACGACCGGCGCGAGGCAGAGCCCCAGGAGGTGGATTATCGAAGTGCGGATAAACGTCCGGAGGGATCCCTTGGCCCGAAGGGTAAAAAGAAGAAGCTGGAGATCAAGGTGATCTTCGGGGGCGCTGAGACAGGAGACACGCCCGCTGAGCGGAAAAAATTTGAGAGATCACTCTATGTGGGTTCCGTATCAGCACCCCCCACCAAGCGCAACAAAATCGAGGCAATCACCTTCGGTCCCGCCGATCTGCCGATGTCACCGGCGCCGCACAGAGACGAGCTGGTGATCAGCATGGACGTAAACGATGCCATCGTCCGCCGCGTCCTTGTCGATACCGGAAGCAGTGTGAACGTCCTCTACTGGGAGGCTTTCGAAGGAATGAAGCTCAAGAAGGACATGCTGCACCCTCTGCGTACCCCGCTGTCCGGTTTCACTGGGGATTGCATTGACGCGGAGGGCACCATCATCTTGCCGGTAGAGATCGGCGACGGCCCTCACACCGCCTGGATCGGGATGACGTTCGTCGTGGTCCGCCTAAAATGCGCCCACAACGCCATTTTGGGCCGACCCGGCTTGGAAGACTTGGGGGCCATGTGCTCCGTACGGCACTCATGCATCAAATTCCCCACCGAGACTGGAGTGGGGGTAGCACGTACGGACCCGCATATGGCCAGGGCCTGCTACACGAAGGCCATGGAAAAGCTCAACGAGCGGGAGGCTCGGGTCAACAGCATCTCCGAGAAGGCCAAACAAGCCGACTTGGACGCTCATCTGGAACCAGCAACTCTGCTGGAAGAAATCGAGCTCGACGACCCGACGGACAGGAGGGTGTCCATCGGTGCAGATCTAGAGCCGGAAATCAGAGCGGGGGTCGTAGCCGTCCTCCGAAGGTTCAGGATCTTGTTCGCCAGAGGGCCGGAGGACATGCCGGGCATCGACCCCAACCTCATATGCCATAGAC